GTGGATTAATATATAAAAGAGATGAGTCTAGAATGACATGTAAGGTTTAAATTATCTTCATTTTCTATTTAGCAATACCAAAGCATAAGAATTTATGAGATTTGCTGTAGGTCAAATGACCAATCTCAAACTCAGCTCTTCTGATTACAAAGCCCTGTTCTACAGTACTTCATTGACACTAAGACTGTGAGTAGTATAAGACACAAGTGCTAAAGGAGTTCAAAGAAAGAAAAGACATCTTCTTGCTGCAAAGAATAAAGGAGAATTTGCACAAAACCTCATTTGACTCATTGTTCCTAAAGAATGGGTAGAACTGGGTAAGTCAAGGAGGGAGGGACATACCTGTTGAGGCAAGTTGTATGCACCAATGTACAGAAGTCTTTGAGGTATCTCTCTGCTCAGGATTCCCTTGGTCTGGGTAAGCTTTCCAAGGGTCAGTGTTATTTCATACATACATCCTATAAAATCTCCCATGTTTGAAATGGAAGGGCCTAGAGTTTATTTTCTTGAGAATATTTGTATCTTATTTGCTCTTAGAACAAGGGACTAAATAAACATAGGTATGTTTCTTTTTAAGAAAACCCAAAAGACAAAATCTTACCTAAGAACCTTAAAGAAAAAGTAGATTCTTTAGAGTAGGGTTAATGTGAATGGCTATGGTAAGCAGTTTGAATTCTGTCCCAAAGGTGATGAGAAGTCATTGGGGGTTTTTAAGAAACAATTCACATGATCTCATGTATTGTTTTAAAAATATTACTCTGGCTGATTGGTGAAGAATAGACTGGTGGGGGCAGAGAGTTGGGCAGGAAGAACCAAAGTGGAAAGAAGATCATTCAGAAATCTTTTATAGTCTTGAACTGGGATAGTAGTAGTAACGGAGATAATGAGAATTGTTTGGACTCAGCATATATTTTAAAGTTATAATCCACAGAACTTGTTGGTTGTTTTGGATGTTGGTGTGAAGAAAACAGAAGAGTCAACAATGATTCATAGGTTTTTGCCTGAACATCTGGATGAATGATGGTGCTATGTAATAAGATAGATACAACTTAAGGAGGAGTATCCGGTTTTAGAGGGAAATTCAAGAGCTCTGTTTTGGAAATATTAAACTTGACATGCCTTTTAGACATTCAGTTGGAGATGTCAAGTAGGCATTTAGATATACTCCTATGAGCCTCGCACTCAGGAGAGAGCACAGAATTAGCAATGAGAAGCTGGGTATCATCAGCGTTACAGATTTAAAGCTTTGAAATTTGAAAAAATCACTTAGGGAGTGAGTATAGGGAGAGGAGAAAATATATTTCAGATCTGAGCCTTACAGTACTAAATGATTTAGAGACCAGGTAGAGAAGAAAATAGCAAAGGAGAATGAAAAATGAGCAGCTAGTGAGATAGGAGGAAAACCAGGAAAGCATCATGTCCTAGAAACTAAATGAAGAAGTATTTCAAGAAGTGTTACAGAGAACTCAGTTGGACAAAAGAATCCAAGCACACACACAAAAATGCATAATGCATAAATAACTCTTATAGGTAATCCGACAAAACAAAATTAATGTATGGTGATAGAAGAACGTGGTTGGGGACAGGGAGTTGACTGGAAAGGGGCACGTGGGAACTTTGTGGGGCAGTGGAATTATTCTGTCTCTTTGTTTTGAATGTTCTTATATGGATGTATACAGTTGTCAAGGCTCATTGAACAGAACACTTAAGATATGTATATTTTATTGAGTAAATTATTTCCCAATTTTTTTTTAAGAAAGGGAGTTATAATTATCAAATGATGTTGAGAGGTTACCTAAGATGAGGACGAGAGTTGACTATTATCAGTAGTGACCTTGAAAACAGTGGTTTCAATGGCAAGATGGGGGTGACTGTCTAGAGTGGGCTAAAGAGAGAATAGGAAATGAGTATGTGAAGATGACAAGTACAAAACCCCTACATGGAATTTTTTCTTAATGGGAGCAAAGAAAGAGGAAAGTCGGAAGATCTATGAAAGTTTTTATTTTTTTAAGCTGGAAGAAATAACAGCATGTTTTTATGATGATGAGAATGATCCAGGAGAAAGTAGAAATTAATAGGAGAGGCATAGGAGAGGGAGTGCAGGGCAGGTGCAAACTTGTTGAATAGGGGAACTGGGGGAGTTGACTTTGATAGGAGCATGGTCTTTCCTTCTATTACAGATGGAAAAGTAGAGTATATGGATATAGATTTAGGCTAATAGATTTTTGCAGCAGGAATATGTAGTACTTCTTTTTGGGTTTCTTTTTATTCTCAGAATAAAAAGCAAATTCAGCACATGAGAGTGAGATTTAGGGAAGGAGTGCTGGAGGTTTGGGGAGAAAATGTGAATTAGTTATCTAGAAGAGAGAGAAAGAGAAAGGAGGGAGGGGAGCAGAGAAAGAGGAGAGGGAGAGGGAGAGAGAGAGAATGTTGCCTAGGTAAATGTAGTATAGTTGAAAAGACCCACTTAATATTTATCATCATAAATACAGAGACACCACCAGGTTTTGGGGTTTTCTCCAGTCACCTTCAGCTGCTGAGAGTGCAGTCACAAAATAGAAAGTTGGGTTTAAAAGGGTTGGGATTTCACCAGGACTGTGGTTTCCTGGGGCAAGTTTTTAGTTAGAGCTAAAATTTAAAGTGAATGTTGAGAAAAGAAATTTAAAATATAAGGAGTTGCTGATAACAGACTGTTAAAGGGGACACAATGTAAGCTTTTTTTCAGGATCAAGGAGTAGAGGGAGACTGTCAAATTAGAGAATGGAAGTCTTAGACATTTGATGATGGACTGAGGTAATGAGGGGTGCTCATGATTAGATTAGTTTGGATTGTTTCTTGGGGAAAGGTACTTATCATTTCTAATCATAATCTTATTCTTGAGATTGATCTCAATCCTTCTAGTGGTTTCTCATCACATTTCCAGTAGTTCTTTATGACAGTCTACAGCCCTACAGAGTCTGGTTGTGGCCTATCTCCATAGCTTTTATAACCTGCTTTTTCTTCTGACATTCGCCCCTTCTGCCACCTACTTCTTTGCTATTTTTTTTTTAAGATTTTTTTATTGGGGAACTTGGGGGATGGGAACAGTGCTGAGGAATTGGGGGAAGGGGAACAGACAAGTTGCTGTCCTTTTGTTCTTCAGTCTAGTTGTGGAGGACATTGCTT